AGAGGTTCTTTTGCTCAATTTGGATAGATATCGGGAATCATAGTGCAAAGTGCAGCTCCTTTTGATATTTGCAGCTCCGGGCTCTGAGTGCCAGTGCTTCTTTGCTCTTAGTGCTATAGGTCTAAGCTGTGAATGTCAGCAGTTCCTGAACGCTCCCAGCTATGACATCCACTCCTCAGCAACCAGGGCTCATAGCCCCCTTGATGGCTTTCTAGAGCTCTTCTAGTGTCTGTCTCGCAGCATTCTGCAGGACTCTGCAGGTCTCCCCTGTTCTTGGCTCTTTGCTGCTCTGCTGCTCTCTGGAGCTCTTCAGCCCCCAACTGGCTGCCAAGCACGATCAGGGCTAACAGCTTTCAGTGTTGCCACCTAGATAAAAGTCATGAGTAGGCAATACAGTAGGGTCATCTAAACAAAGCTTTTAATGGGACCTATGCTTCAGCATAGGGGGTTAGTGCAGAGGAATGTGACCCACTGGACTGACTATGAGTGTGAGGGAACACAGGGTCTGGCTGCCTATGCAGTCTCCTGCATCCAGCAGACCTATTTGGGAGCTTTGGGAATAATGGCAGAGGGGGCGGCATCATCTGGAGAGGTTATAAGACAGAGTCACCCAGAGTGGCTGCAGAGGGGGTGTCATCTAGGATAGATCTTTGTCTGAATCCTGCTGTAGCCAAGGCAAATATCTCCCAGAACAGCCATGGGGGATCTAGGACAACCTCAGCTGTCATAGTGACAGCTTGGCCCAAGTGCTAGATAAATGGCCATTTAACAGTGCCCACCATTTGAAGCCAACTGAGGGGTTGAAGTCATGACTGCTGCTGCTTCCGGTGAATTTCCAGGAGTGGTGACAAGTATCGATCTTGGTCCAGTAGTGCTTAGGGACATGGGCAATAACAGCAGCAAGTCTGTCTCAGATCGTTGCCCTGTCAGAGATTCAGATAAATGGCAGCAGCACCTGAGCAGTACAGAGAGGGGGAGGGGAGGGATAAGGGTTGAGTGGCTCCCTAGAGGGTAGTTGCCTTGGCAACCGCACAAGGGATGGGAAGACCCTGGAGTGAGTAGTCCCGGGTCATCCTCAGGTCGGCAAAGGGAGGAGGGGTATAATGGCTGGCAGTCAAAGGGGAATAGGGAAGGCTTGTGCCCCATTTTTCCATCTCAAGGGTACGTATCCATTAGGCGTAGTAGATAGAGTTGACTAGAAGCTACCGTTGTTAGGGGTCCACAAAAATGGCTTAATTTCTGATATAAAATAAGGACAATGAAAAGGGTGTTCATGTAGGCAAAACCAGGATAACCCGACACACTGTCAAGGATAAGGTCTCAGCGCTGAAAGGTAGCGTCCATATTCAGCACAGTAAGTCCTGCAGCATCAACAAACATTTCTCTTTCTTTGGTACCGGAGATCAAACTCAGCACCTTGCGCTTGCGAGGCAGGCGCCGGAACCACTGAGCTGAATCCCTGGCCCCAACGAACATGTCTTAAGGAAGAAATTTAGACCAATCGATCTGTCCTGGTTCTCTTTATATGACAATAAATAAAATTTACTCCTAAGCTAGAGCTAAGGAATATATTTTTATTTTATTTATTTTGGGGGGGTGGTTTACCGGGGATCGAACTCGGGACCTTGCGGTTGCAAGGCAGGCGCCGGGACCACTGAGCTAAATCCCCGGCCCTATACTTTTAGAAAAAGAGTAGAGGGAAAGGGGAGGAGGCAGCAGAAAGAAAGGGGAGAATTCCCCACAGATTCACAGCATCAGCTCAAGACAAGGAACAAGCGTGCTTTTGTAGAGGGTGTGTACCAAGAGACACAGCAGAAGTTGCAGGGAACACATAGTTGTCGCCAGGGGGCAAATAAAAGCCCCCCTACAGTTTACACAGTCTGGCTTGCTGTAAACACTGTGCTGGAAACTACTCTTGCATTCTGACCGAGGCAGGCGTTCTCAAGGGGGAGTGGCATACATTTTGCAAAGTGTGCCCATGCAAACAGCCAGCTCTGCACACCTGGCTCCAAGCTCTTGTTTTTGAAGACCCAGAAAGCATGGCAGGCTCTGACTTCAGCCTCTGCAAAAGCTGAGAGCAAGAGGCCTCCTAACTGATCATACTAGCTTAATTCCTGTTCCTGCTGAATACCGGCTGCTGGTTGCGCAAGGCTAGGTTGAGGTATTCTCCAACTATTTCTCCAGGGTCTCAGACCTAGCATGTGGTCTGTTGCTCCCTCTAAAATAGTCTGTACAGTTCAGCACATTCCCTTCCCTAGGAAGCTACTTTAAGGCGGGAATAGTCAGCTAAGCTGCACCTCAGAGGCCCAGGTTCTGCAGCAGTACATGCCTACCTGCCCGCCAAAACAAGGCGTCTATGACTGGATACACTGTAACTGGGTCTTGGTGCCAGGCGGGAAACCCTTCCTGCCAATCACATCTCTAACTTTGCTCGTGTGATCACGCGGGCCTCCCGCTCAGAATCTTCAGAAAGCGGCACAGCCTCACTGACGGACGGTCCTCAGGATATGGAGCCTTTGGACGGTTACGGCTACACTTGGCTCAGCCTGGGAGTTGAGAAGGACCAGGAGGAACAGCAGGGTCAGTGCCTGGGCCAGATGAGTGCTTTAGCGATCTCCAAGAAGCTAATATTCCCAGGGAGAGAGAAGTACACGCTGCCCTCCCCCACCCACCCCGCCATGGCGCCGCGCCTTCCCTGGGACCTGGTCTGGAAGCGCTGATCTTTTTCTTTGTGTTTCCCTCTTTCCAGATATGAGGCCAACTGCTGAAGAGAGAAAAGATGAGGAAGAGGGTGTACCTGTACCGAGCGAGGCTAAGCAAAGAGAGGCAGCGGAAGAAGAGAAAGGAGAAAAAGGAGAAGAATTAGGAGGAGGAGAAGGCCAGGTTGGCACCGGCGCTCCTGACCCCATAGACGACAGGAACGAAGAAAGCAGTGGCTCCAGCAGCAGTGGTGACCAAGAACAGGAGGAGCTGATCCCCGAGGAAGATGAGAATGGCAGGGACCAGCAATGGCTCCTCGAGCATACCGGTTTCACCCAGTTGCAGCTGCAGGAATTGGAGAACTATCTCCAGTCCAACAGGAGCCCCAGCAGACCAGAGCGGTAAGCAGATCGCCCAGCTTGGCTCCGGGTTTGCAGGGGGTGCGTGTTGGTCCGGGGAGGCCTTTGTCTGTCTCCCGGGTCCCATTTTCCCCCTCTTGAAATAAAAGCCAACGAGGCTCCTCCGAGTGGGGGTGGGGGTAGGGCTGGGGGTGGTGGCTATGCCAACTGGGAACGAAGGTAAATATTTTCATGAAGCATTTAAAGCATCAAGTTGGGAAACTTTGGACAGTGCTTCGTTGTATATTTGTTTGTTTGCTTTCCTATGGTTTTTTTTTTT